AATCCCAGGAAAAGCACAGGAAAGTACCAGGAAAAGGCCAGGAAAATCCTGTGAAAATGCCAGGAAAATCCTGTGAAAATGCCAGGAAAATCCCAGGAAAATGCCAGGAGAGATCCATGAAAATCCCCCCAAACCCCCACAAAACCCCAGAAAACCCCAGAAAAACCCCCCCAAACCCCCCCAAAGGCAGGTGCCGCCTCACCTTCCACGCAGTGCTCCACCTCCTCCAGGTTGCGCAGGGTGATGCGCATCAGGCTGGAGTTGAGCATCAGCTCGTTGCGGTGCGCGGGCCACAGCGCCTGCGGGGCGGGGTTGACGAAGAAGATGCGCGTGTCGCCCGTGGCCACCTGGTTGTCGCAGATCAGGGGGTCCCCGAAGCCCCCGATCACCACCTTGTTGCCCCCGTCCAGCAGGATCTCGTGGGTCACGATGTCTTTGCCCTTCAGGTAACGCCAGACCCGCACCTGGTGGTGGGAGGGGAGAGCTCACCGGCTTGTTGTGCTTTGTGGGTTCCTCATTTCCCTTCCTGGGCTCCCATTTTCCCTCCCTGGGCTCCCATTTCCCTTCCTGGGCTCCTCTTTTCCCTTCCTGGGCTCCCATTTTCCCTCCCTGGGCTCCCGTTTTCCCTCCCTGGGTTCCTCATTTCCCTTCCTGGGCTCCCATTTTCCCTTCCTGGGCTCCCATTTCCCTTCCTGGGCTCCTCTTTTCCCTTCCTGGGCTCCCATTTTCCCTTCCTGGGCTCCTCTTTTCCCTTCCTGGGCTCCCATTTTCCATCTCTGGTCTCCCATTTCCCTTCCTGGACTCCCATTTCCCTTCCTGGGCTCCCATTTCCCTTCCTGGGCTCCCATTTCCCTTCCTGGACTCCCATTTCCCTTCCTGGACTCCCATTTTCCCTTCCTGGGCTCCTCTTTTCCCTTCCTGGGCTCCCATTTTCCCTCCCTGGGCTCCCATTTTCCATCTCTGGGCTCCCATTTTCCATCTCTGGGCTCCCATTTTCCATCTCTGGGCTCCCATTTTCCATCTCTGGTCTCCTCTTTTCCCTTCCTGGGCTCCCATTTTCCCTCCCTGGGCTCCCGTTTTCCATCTCTGGGCTCCCATTTCCCTTCCTGGGCTCCCATTTTCCCTTCCTGGGTTCCTCATTTACCTTCCTGGGCTCTCATTTTCCGTCTCTGGACTCCCATTTTCCCTTCCTGGGTTCCTCATTTCCCTTCCTGGGCTCCCATTTCCCTTCCTGGGCTCCTCTTTTCCCTTCCTAGGCTCCTCATTTTCCCTCCCTGGGCTCCCATTCTCCCATTTCCCTTCCTGGGCTCCTCTTTTCCCTTCCTAGGCTCCTCATTTTCCCTCCCTGGGCTCCCATTTTCCATCTCTGGGCTCCCATTTCCCTCTTTGGGCTCCACTTCTCCCCTTTCTCAGCTGTTCTTTGCCCTTCTGGGCTCCTCTTTTCTGTCTCTGGGCTCCCATTTTCCCTCCCTGGGCTTCTCTTTCCCTTTCTGGGCTCCTCTTTTCCCACCCTGGACCCCCATTCCCTACCCTGGTTCCCCATTCCCATCCTGATTCCCCATTCCCCAGCCTGGCTCCCCATTCCCTACCCTGGTTCCCCATTCCCTACCCTGGTTCCCCATTCCCTACCCTGGTTCCCCATTCCCTACCCTGGCTCCCCATTCCCACCCTGGTTCCCAGTTTTCGCTGGTGCTGTCCCAGGCTCCCCAGGGCCGGCAGAACCTCCCAGCAGAGCCCATCCCAGAAGCCCAAAAGGCACAAGAAGTGTGGAAAGCCCCGAGCAAAGCGCACAGAGCTCCCTCCTGCCCGACAGAGCCGGCCTGGGGAGGGAATCCCGGGCCAAGGGAGGAGGGAGAGCCTGGGAAGGGACATGGAAGGGCTGGAAATCCCGACTGGGAAAGGCTGCGGGGCTCGGAGAGCAGCGCCCGTCCACGGGAGAGGCTCCAGAAACAGCACAGGAGAGTCAGACTGGGCCAGGAGGAGGCACAAACGGCTGGGAACGAGGATTGGTGGCCCTGGCAAGGATTGGTGTCCCCAGCAAGGACTGGTGACCCTGGCAGTGACTGGTGGCTCTGACAAGGTTTGGTGGCCCTGGCAAGGTTTGACGGCCCTGGCAGATGAGGTCTGGTGGCTCCAGCAAGGACTTTGTGGCCCTGGCAATGATTGGTGGCCCTGGCAGTGATTGGTGGCCCTGGCAGTGATTGGTGGCTCTGACAAGGTTTGGTGGCCCTGGCAGACGAGGTTTGGTGGCCCTGGCAGTGATTGGTGGCCCAGGCAGTGATTGGTGGCCCTGTGGTGGCAGACAGATTTCTCCCCCTGGAAAATGACCCCTCCCAGTTTGGTGTCTCTGCCCCGGTGGCCCTCCAGGTGTCCCAGCTGTGTCTGAGGGGCTGTTCAGACACAGAGACTTCTCCCCTGTGCCAAATTCCTCCCCGTCCCTCCCTCGGCGTCTCCAGCCGAGATCTGAGGCTGCAGAGTTCAAACCAGGGGCTGAAACCTCGCTGGGGGCTCCGGGGAACACAAATCCTCTGATCCACCATCAATCTGGGAATTTTTATTGGGTTTTTTTTGCAGCCTCAGCTCCAGAATTTCAGCCCCGATCGAAGAGGCTTCAAAGTTCAGGCTGAGCTCGAGCCAAACTCCTCCACGGTGTCGCTGGCAGGACTGGGAGGACGGGAACGGGGTCATTCCCACATTCCCTGCGGCCACAGGAGCCACGGGCCGGGGCCGGAGCGTCCTGCTCAGCGCCAGCCCCACCTGCCAGGCCGGAAAAGGGAATGAACTCGGCACTGCCTGGGCCCTGCAGGCACAAGTCAAGGTTAAGAAGCGAGTGTAGGAGTTTATCTCTCCCTCACACCCTCCTGTTTTCCTCACACTTTCTCCTTCTGGTGAAATATTGGGAGCAGGACCCCGGGCTCGCAGGGGTCTGAGCTCGCAGGCAGCGCAGCCATCCAAAAGAGCAATAAATTACCCCAATTATCATCCCAAGCACTGCAGCCTGCCCTGCTCTGCCGCATACCTGAGCTGCAGGAGCAGCCCAGGTGCAAACAGGGCTGTGACAGCTCCTCTGGAGCCGCACATGCCTCGGCTGCTCCCGGGCGTGGAGAGCTCGGGACAGCCCCGTTTATCCTCCAGCAGGAAAGGTGGGGGTCCCCCGGGGGGGCTGAGCCACCCCAAAGCCTCCAGGGGATGTGTCCCTCCCTGCACAGCCCAAATCCAGCTGGGCAGGCAGCGAGACGGGGACAGAGAAAGTTTTGTGCCTCCTGCAAAGGCACTGAGGGGCTGCTCCGAGCTCTCCGAGGAATTTTCTGTCCTCCCTCAGCACAAACCCAGCTCCCAGCTGGGTGAGAAACACGGGGTTAAACTCCAAATCCCACCAGGGAGGGCAGAAACCTCCCCGAAATTTGGTTGGGTTTAACTAAAAGAAGCCCTGCTCACACTCATCCTCCTCCTCCTCCTCCCTCGGAGCGAGGAAGGAGCAGGACCGGCACTTCCCGAGGATATTACGGAATGAGAGGGTCTTGAAGGGCTCCAACTTCCTCAGGGGGGACAGCTCTGATTTCTGCTCTGGGAGCAGGGACAGGACCTGAAGGAACATCTAGAGCTGTGCCAGGATGGAGATCAGGAACTTTCCTTCCCCCAGAGGGTGGTGGGGCACTGGGATTCCCCCAGCCGCTCCCAGGGATGCCCAGGTGGGATCAGGAACTTTCCTTCCCCCAGAGGGTGGTGGGGCACTGGGATTCCCCCAGCCGCTCCCAGGGATGCCCAGGTGGGATTTTTGTGCAGAGCCAAGAGTCGGACCCTGCTCCTTGCAGCTCCTTCCCGACCCAAAGCATTCCAGGACTCCCTGAAGGAGCCTGGAAGAGCCTCCGTGGCCCTGATCCCACGGGAAGCCGCACGGGACAGCCCGGGTGAGCTCGGGGAAGGTGAGAAGGGCACAATCCTGCGCTCCCAGAGCTCTCCTGCCTCCCCAGCTGCTCCCCAGCCTCCTCCCCGGGCTGGAGCCGCTCTCTCCCCGCAGTCAAGTCAAGACACCTTCCCGCAGCCCCACCTCCTGCTGCTGCTGCTCCAGCCGCAGGGCAGGCTCCGGAGGAGGCGAGCAGCAAAGCAGGGCAAAAACCCAGCCAGACAAAGGAGAAAAAAGGGGGGGGGACCTCCTCCAGCAGCAGAAAACGCAGCCCGAGGCTGGCGCTGAAAGGAGCGTGCGGGGCATTTTCACACCTCGCGTTTTGGGGGGGAAAAAGGTGAATTCTCCCCCAGCTCTGCGGCAGATGGGAATTGGCGTTAATTGGCGTTAATTGGCGTGGCTGCTGCGCTCAGGCAGCTCCGAGCCAGGCCACAGCACTCCCCGAGAAACATCAGAGTCCGGCGGCCTCCTCCCCACCCTAATGAATGGATGTGCAGGCAGCAGAGCCCCGGCAATTACCTGCAGGGCATCCCATTCATCAGCGCGGCACAATTAAGACTTTGTCACCGCTGACTCACCGGCGGCAGCGAGCATCGGGGGGAAAAGGAAGGCAGAGAAAGAAAAAAATTGGGCTGGGACCTGTTTGGAGGAGGACCCTGCCCTGGAGCGCTCTGTTTTTCCGGGGAGAGCAGAAAACGCAGGATTTTAAACTCCGCGGGGGCAGAGGAAGAGCGGCCACAACTTCATCCTCGCACGGGGGTGTTTTAAAAGCAGGAAAAGAAATTTAAAACCCCAGAAATAAAAGGATTTTCCAACGTGTCAGGGCGGTGCATCCCATAATAGGGAAGGAAGGGGACGGCACCTGTACAGAACATTCCTGCCAGGAAAAGGCGGCGGGGATTGCCAGCTCTGGTTTTGTGAAGCCGGGTGAGGAGCAAAGTCCCCTCTGGAGGAGCTGTCACTCGGGATGGGACGCACCGAACGGGGTCACCACGAAATTTTAGGAAATAAAAGCCAGAATCAGCTCTGCTTCCAACTCTTCCCTCTCCCCTTTTTTGTCTCTCTCGGTGCCTTTTCCTTGCTCGTTCCCCCGGACCCGGCGATTCCCACAAACCCCCCCCCCAAAATCCGTGCTCCATTGTCCGGAACAGGATCCACATCCTTTTCCACGCTTCCTACGGCGCTCAGAGAACCTGGGTTTATCCTCTAAAGAGCAGCTAAACATCGGGACAGCCCAGAAAAGGCACTTCGGGGGGCCCTGGGAGCAGAAAGGGACAATGCCAGCGCAGAGGAGCGGCAGCAGCTTGGGGGAAAAGTCAGAAACTGCAGTCAGGAATGTCAAATCCCTCGGAAAAAGAGCACAGCAGCCGCTTTTTGGGAATTCTGTCAGCCTGTTCCTCCTCTCCCCAGCTCCCCTGGCAGCACGGGAAGGGCTGGCAGCTATTTCGGGGTGTTTATCTAACATGAACTTCACATTTCTGCCGGTGCTTATCTGCGCCTATGGAAGCCCTCAGCTGGGAGGGTTTGGAGCCGAGCTGGGAAGAACAATGCCCCAGCAAGGAATTCACAGATCCCCACGTGCCCGATCCCTCCCGGACCACCCAGCTCCAGGAATACTCGGGATTTTGGGTGTGGGCTCCAGGGAACTCCCCACACCCGCTGGGCCCTCGCCTTTCCTCTGCTGATAAGGAAGAGCCCGACAGGAGATAACCGCGGGGTCTGGGGAGCAGCAGGAATTGGGGCAGGAATTTCCTCGGCACAAGATCCTGGATTTCTCCCAGCTCCCCAGGGGCAGCGCAAGGACAGCAGGAGCCAGGGGTCAGGTTTAATCCCAAATTGCTCTTGGAATTTAGGTTTAATTTTTTTGGTTTTAAAACAAAACCAAAATAAAACAACAAAATAAACCGCAGGGGTGGCCAACCCAGCAAAATCCACACAATTCCAAGACTTTGGGAGATCTGAGGAGGGCAAGAAGCCAAGAGCTGCTGCAGAGCTGCACATCCCCAAGTCATTGCAGTGATGGGGGATTTATCTGCTTCCAGGTCCTTGGGACACTCCAAATCCCATTCCAAAGCTTTTTTTTCCCTGCAAAGACACCATGAAATGCCACTAAAAATGGCACAGCACGGGCTGATGGGCAGGGAAAGGGACAGGGAACCACTGTCCTGTGAAAATTCCTGAATGTCACAGCACTGCCGGGATGGGATGGGATCCATGGGATGGGATGGGATTAAAGATTTCCTGCTTTCACTTTTACACGGCTCCAAGGCTGGAATGGTCTCTCAGGAGTACATCCTGGCCCTTCTGTGCTCTTTCAAGACCAGGAGTGGGCAGGAGCAAATCCCAAACTCCAGAGCAAGCAGCACAAACCTCTCCCGGGCACTGCTCAGGGAAAGGCAGGGAAGAGATTCCCTCCCCGGTTTAAGGAATTCAGATCGTGCTCCACAGGAAGCCACCACGGGCAGCCCCATTCCAATCCTGGCTGCTCCAGCTGGGGCTGGACTGCACCTTGCAGAGGCAGAGCTGCTGAGCAGGCAGCATTTCCTATCCCAGCTTTTCCTATCCCAGCTTTTCCTATCCCAGCTTTTCCTATCCCAGCTCTCCCCATCCCAGCTCTCCCCATCCCAGCTTTTCCTATCCCAGCTTTTCCTATCCCAGCTTTTCTTATCCCAGCTTTTCCTATCCCAGCATTTCCTATCCCAGCATTTCCTATCCCAGCTTTTCCTATCCCAGCTTTTCCTATCCCAGCTTTTCCTATCCCAGCTTTTCCTATCCCAGCTTTTCCCATCCCAGCTTTTCCTATCCCAGCTCTCCCCATCCCAGAGTCCTGCCCTGCTGCTGCAAGATGATTTTCTGCCAGGCAGACACCTCGCTGTGAGTCTGCAGCGGGAGAAAAGGGATTTATTTCTCACCCTGACATTTCTGCCTCGCCACCAGCACCGCTGGGCCACCTCCCGTGGCAACCTCGCGCCGGCCTCAGGTGGCCACATCCATCTGTGCCCCACAGGCCAGCGGCTGCTGGCAGCAGCTCATTAATTCTCCGCGGAGCACCCAGGATGTGCCAGACACTCCGCAAACAGACGGTGCCTGCTCTCGCCTGGAGGGGCTCCTCGCCGAGCTGCAGATGGGTCGGGGGGCGCTGGGAGCGGGCACCGGGCACCAGCTGGGCGGGCAGGGGCTGGGGGATGCTCGGGGGATGCTCCAGAACACCGCGGGGAAAGTTCACCTTTCCCTCTGCCACCAAAGCATCGCCCCCGGCCCTGCTCGGCACCAACCGCAGGCAGAAGAAGCAGGAATTTTGGGGAGGAAGAGGGCAACGGGGAGAAGAGGAAAAGGCAAGGGAAGAGCGTGTCCTTGCAAGCGAGAACCCTGCCCCGGCAAGGGTTAAGGCATCCGGCACGTTTTCTGTCAAGCGGGCGGATGGGATTTCAGGTTGCTCGGGACTTGAGCGTCTCTCAGCTTCGGGGGGAGATAAAAAAGCCCCAGAGCCCGAGGCCAGGTTGGTGGTTAAACAATAGCTCGGGCTGCAGGAACTCGAGATGCTGCTAAAGTAAACAGCGAGCCGCGGCTGGAGGCAGGAGCGGCTCCCAGCACCTTCCCGGCAGCCAGGCACGGAAAGTTGGGAGGCAGCTCCGCATCACGCCAAAGCCAAAGAGGGAAATGTCCATAAAAAGCAACCTCTGGAGATTCCCCACCCCCCCGCACAACCCCGGCCACTGCTGCGGGAGCCGCTCCGTAGCCTAAAAACCCCCGATTCCACCCCAAAACCGGCGCGGGGCGAAAGTTGCCCCCGCGTTTTTACCTTGCAGGAGTAGGTGTGGTGCACCGGGTCCACGTTCATGATCTCCTCCACCGTGCCCGTGAGCACCACGTTGGCCTCCTCCTCCCTGCGCTCCAGCTCCCGCTCGGGGCAGCTCG